ATACTTTAGGACCTGTATCTTCAATATAGTCTTCCTTAAGTGTTTTTTTTTGGTTGTTTAAAGCAATAGGACATACTTGTCAACTTTACAATTAGGAATCATCTGTACTCACTTCTGATGGCATGTCTGATGTAAATTACATAAATGTAAAATTATTTTGGACTGACTGTACTAATAGTTAATGTCAATGCATACATATATAGATATAAAAGACTGCTTTAACTCACATCAATCATCCCCTCCACTTTAGCAATTGCCTTTCCGAAGATTGTTCCAAGCTGATCTCCCACTCCTGCCAGCAAGAATCCAAACAGAGGAATTCCCAACAGGGCAAAGATAATACAGAAGATGTGTCCACCCTCTGTGTGAGGTGAGATATTCCCAAATCCTGGAGTGAATAAAGGAAAATAATAACAAAATAAGTACTCAAAATGTATTTGAGAAATTACTTTTTCAGAATTGTACAAATTGTTGTTACCTCTTGAGTCATTGTATTTATTTTAAAACACACATACACACACTCAAGCTGCTTACTACTATAATGTAACTTGATGTGACAAGGTGAGACGTGATGATTAAAAACCCAATTGTGCAATTAAAGAAAAAACAAAAATATCTCCAAAACATGAAGATACTAAACAGTTGCTGAAAATCTTGAAATACAAATAGTATTGTTGAAGTTTTCGTCTTGGTGCCACAACGGTTGTTTTAATAATATAAATTATTAAGATAATAAAAAGGTAAGATCTTAAAAAAAAATTTTTTTCTCATTAATATCTTTATTAATGTGGTGAAAAGCTGTGTAATTAGTGAAATGACTGTACATCATGCCTTACATATCTGTCTTGTCTGAACTTCGTCTAGATTCAAAGCAGTTTGTTAGGAACTTCTTTTCATAAGCTTTGTATTAAAAAAACTAAGAAAATATTCAACTCAAATCAATATTTCATGTCTAATTATTTACTTAAAAACATCACCGGGCCCACTCAACGTTTTAATCATACGCTAGATTTAATGATATTGCATGGAATCAATCTAACTGATATAGATATCGTACTTCAGCATCGTGCATGCTGCGTATTACTGATATTAACTATATGGCTGCTTTCTGTACCCATAAATACACATGAACTAGACAAAATGACTAGCAACATGGGCACTATCTTCTCTAATACATTAGAAGCTGTTGCCCCCATCAAATTGAAAAAGGTTAGAGAAAACCGTACCAGCAATACACCTGAACCAGCTAATCGAGGTGTTCAGGGCTACTTAATTACAGACAGGTGTGTTGAAACAGGGTTGGAACTTAAGCCTGCGGACGGTAGCTCTCCAGGAGCAGGGTTGGAGAACTTTACTTTTTTAATTGGTTGCTTTAATTGCTGCTTGCAGCTATATTTAAAGACTGTGTTTTTTATTTTACTTCATCACTGTGTGCTTTACTACAGCCACTGTATTTGACAAAATAATCTTTTCAAGATTTGATAAGAAAAAAATAGGAATACCTAAGGAGTCTCCATGTGACACAGTTCATGAAATACAGCCAAAAAACAACATTTCAGTCCAGTTCATGGACCTTTCATAGCGTGTAATGGCCAACATTTTCAGAATTTTACAATTTATTGTAAAATTACAATTATAATTTATTGTAATTACAAAATGACCATTTATCTGTCGAAAAGCAGAAAACTAAAAATATAAGTATGAGAATAAACCAAACATTGCTTGGTCGTGGTTATGGGTTCCAGACAGAGGCGTCACTATGTTTTTGCTCTCTTTGTCCTTACTGTAAATTTTTCATAAGTAAGATAAATACAATCAGTTTCCAGCTGTCCCATGCAGGAGCAGTAACCTAACCTGTGTGCTTTGAGCAAATTCAGCCAAAAGCCCTATTCGAACGGGACTAGTTTTCCAGGGTGGTGTTAGAGAAATTAGTGTTTCACAAACATACTTTGTTATTTTAATCAAATGCGAATTTGCCAAGTCTGTGTATTTCTCACTAAAAATTCGGACAGTAATTGCTTCTCATGTGGATGTCTGTAAAAATAAATTGACATGGCACCTCAGTGATAAAACTCATGGATTTGGATGGTGACTTTTATTCACAGTGGAGAAGCGAGTTCTGTGATCTTACGAACCTGGGAACACGCTGCTCACGTGGCCAGTCGCATGATTGTCTGCTGTACATAAAATGTCATATGCTTGGAATAATGAGAATAAATTCACATTTAATAGTATCCTATTTATTATTTGATTAATAATTCTCCTGTTAAAAAAAATGAGAAAATAGACGCGCTATAGTTGAAATGGTTTTCGGTCTTGCATTTTATTTCTCAAAATGATGGATGTCATTAAAAACGTGGAGACAGAAATAACTTAATGCAACCTCTTATTTAGATATGGTAAACATAAGCGATAAGGTAAAGCTGCTTGGTTTATATTTGTATGCATGCAATTGTTATACATATTTTAAAATGTATTTCATAGGCTACCTCTTGCTGCCATAATAATGACCCCATTTCAAATGTTTACGTGCTTTTCTTCTTTCTGTTCTCAACAGCTCCTACTCGCTATGAAATAATGTGCTTCTAAATAGTTTCCAGCATTTCAGCATTTTTTTGTCAGTAATAAATATGCATGCAAATTACAGCAAAGCGTGTACGGTTACCATACGGTGTTCAGCAGTGGTCAAAAAGGATTTAAACAGTTAATTTTGAATCAGTTTCTTCTTGTAAACTCAGAGATGTGAATTCGGACGGCAATTACATTACAACATGACCTTGAGGTTTGTCAAAAAAACAGTAGGTAATTCGGCCGGGATTTTTGCGTGGGTGGTTAGAGAAAACACCGGCATTCTGACGGACGGCAATAAAATCACAGGCTAACCCCTGTAATTGCTGAAAATAGCTTACATCAGCATGAGAAACAATTACCATCAGAATCGGGCTTATCTCTAAAAATTCCAGAGCAAATGACTTACTCTGAGAAATCTAATCCCATCTAAATGGCTGATATTGTATTATCTCAGCGCTGTGTGTTTTTTGGCCTACGTGAGCTACCATTTGCGCACCAATCTAGCAATCTGCCACTTCCAATCTACCAATCTTCCACTTCCAATCTACCAATCTTCCACTTCCAATCTACCAATCTTCCACATTTCACTATGAATGGTATCCAACGAAAAAAATAAAATAATAAAATGAATAAGGAGGGATAAAATCGTGGAAACTGCTAAGACCGGCCAATGTAACATCAGCTTCAGGTAAGACACTTGTCTAGATTTCTCTGCTTACTTACATGGGTTTATTATAAGCAGCCACTTCTATAAACTCATTTAAAAGTCTATTTAAATAATGTTTTTATAATAAATTACAATTATATTAATACATAGTTCATTAGACAGATACACCATACGTGATGCACACAAGCACATCACGTCTAGAAAACACACCCACCTCAGTAATAAGCACGGAGATGTTAGTCCCGTCCACAGGTGTGGCATATCAAGATGCTGATTAGACAGCATGATTATTGCACAGGTGTGCCTTAGGCTGACCACAATAAAAGGCCACTCTAAAATGGTCAGTTTTATCACACAGCACAATGCCATATGACTATAGAACACAAAAAGATCTGTGCGCTTTCTTAGGCCTGGGACACACCAGATGGTTTTCAAATCTTAACCTATTTTAAAACTGTGGGAGGCCACAGACATAATGACAGTTTCAACCGATTTTTAGCATCATAACCTTGTGAACGCACACACTATAGATAATTCAGCTGGGACACGAGATCACGAGACGAGATCTCATGGAGATTCGCGAGATCAAACGTGACGTGAGAAGAAAAACAAATGGAGGACAATCAACATCGTAAGCTGGCTCTCCTGGAGCGTGTCTTTTCAAAGAAAAACAAAGGAGAAAAAAAAGAATATGGCCGATCTTCTTTCTCAGTACTCCACTTTCGTGGTATGTTTGTGGCTGCCAAGTTTCAGCTACAGCAGCACACAACATCTGGTAAGTGACACTTGGTCGCTCTCATTGGCTATCTTGTGTATCGCGTCAGAGGCCACCCAATCAAGAGTCGTAAATATCAAACATGGGGGCTTCGACGCGATCAGAAGCAGTAAACTAATTGTAATGACACCACACAATTGAGGATTTTTTGGACAAAAAGTCAGTTGCGACATGCCTCACATTGGGCCACAATTTATATTTTTTGAAGTTATAACCATATGAATGTAATATGACATGAAACCCTGCGATCATGGACAGGTATCTGAAGTTACTTTATATGAATATAAAAGGTATCTGACACGAAACTCCTGCGATCAGAGCAGGTATCTGAAGTTATAACAGTATGAATGTAATCTGACATGAAACCCCTGGGTACTGGCCCAGGATGGCTGCTAGTGCCGGTCTCAGGCTGACAGGCATACTCTGCTCTCTGAATCCAAAGCATCTGTCTGAAGCATCTGCAAAAGAACAGTGTTTCAAGGTTTTTTTTTTTTTTTTTGGTTTGTTGATGTCCCTCCTGCAACATTTTTTCAAAAAATATTCCAATACTGTCTGCAGTGTTGTCTTCTGGAACAAATTCCAAGGCAATTTGACTGAACTTTCCCATTTTTGAGGTAGTGAATGGTTAAGTTTATGTATGGATCACTGCCTTCAGAAGTCAGTAGCTACTGCATGCCATTTTCATTGGGCCACATGCTTGCCAACTTCCAATTTTAGACTGTTTTGTTTGGGTATCTCTGTCTTTGACCACTTCTGTGTGGGAAATTTGTACAGTGGAACTGCAGTTTTCATCAGTTTTTGCTACTGTGTAAATGGGTATCATGTCCTATGGCCTGACTGATTTATTTTGCTCAGTGAGATAAGGGTCCATATGGAGCCTGATGATGAAATACTTCTTGGCTCATTGGCTTAACATTGACTTCAGCTGTTCAGACCATTAGAATCCGCTGTTGCTGCACAACAATCAACACAATATGTAGCCAAATACACATCACTCATGTCTTGATTTAGAGTGTCATGAGTCATGACATTACTTAAGTACAGGTTGTTACCCAAATAATTGTATTGTCAGTGCAACAACAGTATTGTATTGCTTTTTTTCCTGGATATTATAGATATAATATAGATAGGCATTACCTACATATTTAAAAACAGTTCACTCACTATGTGCCAATGTACAATTGTATTGTGTTCCATCTTGAACTTGATATCATTACTCTGCCACACTGCCATTATTAATTACACAGCTTAGTATTAGCTGATTAACAGTATTTTAAACTTTAGCATAGTAAGTTGAGTTTTAGCTAATTCTTCAACTACTGTACATGCAAGCAAGTTGCAGATTATATGCAAACAGCAACACATTGTTTTTGTGTATGTCATTCAGCTCATGGTTTCTAAGAGCCATGTCTATTTGGTATTCAAAAATGCAGAAAATTTAGAAGTACAGCATCATAACTTACCATTTTTTTATTGATTTGTACTGAATGATTGTTGTGAAGACTAGCAAACAACTTTAAAGTTATCCTTTGCTTCAATGCCACTTTCTATCCACATCTCTTACACAAAAGGAAATTTTCTTCAACCACCCTTGCCTTTGCGTTCTGTGTTTGTGAGTGCTACTCGTTCTCTGTGTGTTGGCTCAAGCTCCTACTGTGGATTATCTCCTGTATTTCGTGATTAAATAATTTTAAATGTTTCCTCGTGATTCCAGCGTGTTCCCTCAACAGCGTTGTAGCGTCTGGACCAATCAAACACACAATATATATTTTGTTAGCTATATTTAACAAATACTCTGTAACACCCCTCAGTTAACAAGCCATATGAGGTCCTATGGACCCTTCCCCCGAAATGTTTACTGTGTTAAGCTTTAACCCTTTCCTATACAAACTGTAAACTGACCAGTTTAAGTGTTTATGTAGTACGTTAGACTAGTTTAAATGTTTATGTAGTTAATAAAGTCTTACTTGTATCACACTTGACGTTGTTCATTGTTTGCTCATAACTGGAGTCACTTAATCATGCAGATTTATGCTACAAGCTCTGTGTACAATTGTGCAGTAACAAAGTTATTTCCCTTAACCAGGAAATTAACGTTCATAGAATTGGCAGACAGTTGACCCTGAGAGGTCAAGTAAATATCTACAGCTGATCTAAATATTTATAATTAATTATAACTAGTTATGATTAATTATTCATATTTCCCCATGAGCTGATTCGCTACAGCGTGATGTGACACCTTCCATCAAGTAAGCAGAACCGCAAATGCAAAATATTATTGCTCTTATTTTAATCAACAAAATTTCATTCACATGCATGCAGTATTGACAAGTTTCCTTGATTGTAATGGAAGCAATCTAGCATAGAGTCTTGATCCTGATGCTGGTTTGACAGAAAGCAAAATTTCAGTGCCTGGGTCTATAACAGAAGGCAAAGCTGTGTCTTCCTCCCATTCTCCCTCCCTCCCATTATTTGCAAATGTGCAAAGATCAGCATAAGTTTTCATGAACTGAACAGGATCAGATAGGGCAATACAATTGTATGATAGCAGTTGCTATCCCACAGATAGCAGTGCTCTGAGTGCAATTTTTTTTAAGTGTTCTTTTTCTTAAATGTTATTTTAATCAATAAAAGTAAATCAAATGTTCTTATTTTAAAGATGAAAATAAGTAAAAAGAGCCCAGCATCAAGTCAGTGTAACCTGACATTTGGGACAGATAAATAAGAAACCTAAAATGTGTAGCCCAACATGCGTTTTGTCCAATATTTGGTTTGTGTGCATATCAGCTGTTTCACCTTAACAAAGTTTTCCAGTTCTGATGAATTGACGCATGGATGCTGCTCAAGGAATTCCAGTTTTTCCACCAGGATGGCCAGTTTCTGGGATGTCTCATGAGGCTGCTCCAGCTCTTTAAACACAGTTGCTCCGAGAATTAAGTACAGCACCACTAGCAGGAAGACGCTCAACACTGTTTTCCAGCGCATTACAGTCACACGAGGCTCAAAGTCATCTGGAGACTTCAGCAGCACAGGCGGAGCCGAGAACGACAGACGTGGTTTGGAGTTGTGAGTGGCTGTTTTAGGATCAAGGAGGTCGGGAGCAGCCACTAATAAACAGAAAAGGAAAGCAAGAAAGAAACAATCAAAAAGCATGATATAAGATTATACACACGTTCGCATCAGTAGTCCAGCATAATTTACTGATAAACCGAATTTGTATGCGCTCTTATTTCAAGTCTTTAAAATTGCACAGAATAAAACTGTAATATCAAACTGAGTGAATGCACTAACTGTGTTACATACATTTAACTGTGTTTAACATATAATTAAACTTTACTTTTATGCATTTAGCAGACACTTGTACTCAAAGCAATTTATAGGGCAGTTCATGCACTTTCTCAAACTCTGCGATGGATTAACAATGATTAAAAATAGCATTTTCAATTCCAGGTAAATTGCCATAGATTGCTCCACCTATAGTACGATCTTCAAAAAAAAAATTTTGGCGTGCATCTTTAGAATTATATGCTGCATGTGCTCGCCTAATTTTGTGAGTTTCCATCCAGGAATTACAGGGTTTTGGGTATATTTGGCCATGCCTATTTTTTAAATGACCCTGTTACAGCTAACCAAATTGAAAAGTTCAACATTTTTTGATAAGTATCGACCTAGAGAGTCAAGAGAATTGTACTCCAGGGGTTTTCTTGAGGTTAAGCAAAAAACCTAGGACTTGTTCGCAAAAGTAGTTGTTTTTAAATAATATTGAATAATTGACAAACGATTTGATTACCAGCAGTGGTTCTTGAGGCAAAGTTGTTCAGAGTGAGGAGATCTATCATATGATATGAATACTGTGTGTATGTGTGAAAATAAACAATTGTTTACACACTTGAAAAATGCAATATTGCTCCCAGTGGCCGATTTCTTTCAAATTTCTCACAGACCTTTAGGGCTGTGAGTCAAAAAGGGCCACAAAGTTTCGTTCTGATCGGCCTCCATTAACCCCGTCTAATAGGTGCTCAAATTTCATTGGTCAAATGTGCTCATCGACAGCCATGGCACTTTGGACACAGACATTGCAGCTGTGTCCCAATTAAAAGACCGCATCCTTCAGAGGACGGGTCCTTCGAAGGATGCGGCCGACACGGCCTTCGAAGGACGCTCCGAGTCTAGCCTTCTCAGAATTTCCTGATTGCGCCAGCAGGTCTTCCCGATTAATGCTCCTGTCGCGTGGCAATGGTGAGAGAAGAGAGCTGCCATCCTGAGATTTGTCAATGAAACTGAAAATAACTATGGAGCCTGAATTGTTAGTTTTTGACTGTATTTATTATACCTTATACTGGAGGAAATGCTGGTGATGGTTCACCCCCGGCAGTGCCAGGTGGTGTATTTCAGGCTTAGCCAAGACCATGCAGGTAACTTAGGGATCCCAAATTCAGAAAAGTAGGCCTATATATATATATAAAAGTGTTTAACACTTTTTTTTATTTGTCATTTTCTGTTTCAAGAATGAGGTCCAAGGTTAAGAAGCTATTAGTTATTTAAATGTAATTTTTTTTTTGATCACGTCTCAGGTAGATTGCATGTTTTCTTGCGCGCTGGAAGTTGGACTCGTGAAAAAATTTTTTTTCTCTCAATCTTATGTATTGTTCATTTAATTTTTGTTGTTTTTTATGATGTTGAATTGAAGCAAATTTCTGTCATTTAGAAATTATAAGTTGCTTTGCAAAAATAAACAATGTTTATAATTATTTCTTGTCTTTTATTTACAAGTTTCAACTTATTATACAAAAATAAAACAGTGCACAGAAATTACTTTATTTACAAATAACTAATCAAATTACAAAAGTAATGTACAGAACAACTTTCATTTCTTTTTTAAGTTTCCCAGCAGCCCCATTTTCTCCAGAACTGTCCTAAAACAAGACAAAAGGAAAGACTTATGAAAATTATTAAGACAGGACTGCAAAATATGACACAGCAGGACATGCATACAAAATACTCCAGAAATCATATTTCTGGATCATCAAGTTTGCTTAGAAAGTTTTGCGGACATATCTTGCATGACAGCGCTAAAATAATAACAACGACAATAATAATAATAATAATAAAATAAAAATACAAGTGAAAAAAATACAAGCTATTTCAGTACATTCAAACACAATACTTACATTTATAGAACTAAGTGTATTTGTCGGCCGCCACAGAACCGTCACCCACTTTGTTTGAATAAAAACCCCGTCTTCACTGGCGCGCTATGAATTCTGGGAAAAAGATAGGCTGCGAAGGATCCATCAGATGTATCCTTCATTTGCCGGAGAAACGGAGGATGCATTTGAAGTCGTGTTCGAATTGCGGCAGCCTTCGTCGCGCAACGGTGACGCAATCGGCCTTCAAATGCAGCCTTCGGAGGATGCATCGTGAATTGGGACAGTCCTCGTCGCGCCGCTGTGACACAATCGGCCTTCAAATGCAGCCTTCATAGGACGCTGTGTTTGAATTGGGACAGCCTTCGTCGAGCTGCCGTGACGTAATCGGCCTTCAAATGGGTCCTTCAAAGGACGTAGCCTATGAATTGGGACACAGCTATGATGTGAATTTCGGACCAACAGATGAATAGTTATAGCCATTTTTATGTTTTTGTCCTATTTATAGCGCCATGCAGTGGCCAAACTCCATGGTTTTTGTCATGTGACCTCAGATTGAGGTCTTACATATGCGGATTCGCGTTTGGTGTAAATGTTTTATTCCACTGAAAACTTCAGGAATTTTTGGAAAAGTGGCCCTGCTTCTTTCAAGCATTTACCTTTGTGATGGCGAGTCAAAAACTTGAAGTGTTTTTATAATTATTGATATTTACTCTCCAGAGAATTTTTCTGTGGTGGTTTGGTTCCGATCTGCAAAAATCCTAGGACTAGTTCCAAAAGTAGTTTAAAAAAAAAAAATCAAAAATAGCCAAAAAGTTTGCTAGGGCGGAGATCGGAGATTGGAGATCGAATCTGTCACGTCTGTTTTTTTCTTCTTGAGCCAACCAAGGATTCTGCATCTAGCAGTTTAGGAATTATGAGTGATTTCATACTTTCGATAGTGCCCCATCAGGCCGCTTCGGGGCAAGCCTTGATGACGTTGTAGACGGGGAGGGTACTACCATCCAGTTTCAGGTCTCTAAGCCTTATGGTTTGGTCTGCACGATCACTTTTAGGTCAGAATCTTTGAAAATCTTAACAATTATAATAGGGTTTCAGCGCTCTGAGCTTGAACACATAATAATAATAAATTCACATTTCTCCGATTGGCTTGAGTTTAATTAAATGTTTCACATATTTATTTTTCTGTCTCTGAAAGTAATGATTTTTTTGATTTTTGATTTACTTGCAGGCACTCATTTGGTCTGGCAATTATAATTACCAACACTTCTGTCATTAAAGTGCTTTACAGTCAGCAGCATGTGTTTCTTTCTCCCCAGCATCACTCCAATCCTGTGTTCCCATGTGTGAGTTATGTGGGGGTTGAATTTACTTGTACAACCATTCTTATAAAGGTGCTGCATGTATGTTAAAAATACATTTCTGCTGTTCTAGAAAAGCACTGAAACCACTCACAGATAAGTCCACCTTCATTAATGTGGCTAACAAAACTTGTAAATTACTGTACATGTGGGACTAGTTTGACCTTACAGTATTTTCCCTTAACTAACACACACATGCATGGTTCATTCTGACCATTTAGTAAAACAGAGTTCAGATTGTATTCATTCTAAAAGGGATATTCTGGGTTCAGTACAAGTTAAGAACAATTGACAGCATGTGGGGCATAATGTTGAGACTACCACAAAAAAGCAAAAAATCAGAGAAGCACTTACAATTATGGTACCGATCTTTAAATGTTGAAATACTCACCATTTTAATAAAACAGCCACAAGACTAAACTAGTATGCATGCTAACCCGATTTAGTGTTAATCTAGTAGGAACTAACTTATTCTGTGTAAAGTTCCATTTTTACAGATCCATTGCCTTGACAAAGATATGCCTTAAACCCCATGACTTTAAAAATGACGATAAAAACAACTTTATGCCTTAAATAATACACAAGTTTTAACATTAATATAAGTGCTTTTATGAACGTATAAGCTTTACATTTTACTTGTAAAAAAAAAAAAAAGGAGGGATGAGGTAAAATTATTTTATGGTAATCAATATTAACAAATAATCAACAATTAACAAATGCTGTCGATTGTACAAGTTAAGTGCTTATTTTTTTATTAAAACCTAAACAATCCTTTATTGTTCTTAACTGCAATTCATATTGTAAATTATGTGTAAGATATCAAATATGAATGTAAAAATGATTTAAAATGAACTGCACCTAATCATTTTTTTTAAGTTGTCTATTAAGAGACATCTCCCCCGCCCCAGAAAATCTCAGTCTCAACTCAAAACAACTTATCTGTATTCAGTTATGTCCTATTCATATAAACACTATTGTTAAACAGTTAACATAAGCAATATTCAGGTGATATGAAATGATATGATACGAGCGTATGCATGTATTACGCAGTTTGGCATACGCAACACATTTATAATTTATGAACATTTCTGTGGGCTGCAGGGCTTTCTCTCTTCTCCCATGTGACTGCTCTGCCTTTTGATCTAGGGAAATTATTCACGGATACGTCGATCCTTTAATATTCATCTATAGGATGTCGTTTATTCCTGCCAGATCTAAACGCGCATCCTCTCTCTCTCTCTCTCTCTCTCATACACACATATGCACACGCACGCATAATAAAACACATCCGTTGTATTTAAAGCCGGTTGTGGTTCTGTTTATGTAACTTACTTCTTCAGTCCTCTTCTCATCGACGCTCGCGTTACCGTGTGGTTGCAGAGGTTCGGTTCAATTTCCCCAACTCCATTTCTTCTGATCCGTGTTAGGGTTGTTTTTCTCTCCGCAAACGTGCAGCTTGTTGAATGAGTGAAAGCGGAGGGAACTGAATCGCAGCCTCCTCTAAATCACAGACTCCAATGACGCAAGACGCGCGAGAGTGGTTCGGGATCTTAATAGTAAGTAAAGGTAGTAGGTTCCCTGATAGCACACATAGACTACATCACGGAGACATGTATTTGACGTCTGCATTTACATCTGCAAGTTTGCTATCAGATGTCAGACGTTTAGAAGATGTCTTTAAAGGGGTCATATAATGCGATTTCTATTTTTCCTTTTCTTTAATGTGTTATGTAGCTGTTTGTGGATGTATATGATTTGCAGAGTTACACAGCTCAAAGTCTCCCACAAAAGGATTTATTCTATCTAAAAGAGAAGGCTGATCCAAACCGGGCTAAAAAAAACGCCCCCACATGTCTATGTCACAATGTGGAAATATTTGCGTAATGCCGCCCAAATGTTCACGCAAAGAAAGAAGGCGTGGTTTCAGGAACCGCAGTAGTGTTGATGCAGCCATGTCAGGGAGACGCTGTGTGTTTCTGTGCGAAAGCAAAAGCACTTTATTTGGCCTTCCGCAAGTAGATGCAATTAGGAATCGTTGTTAAGATCTGTTTACAACAGAACAGCACAACAACACAATGTTCGAATTTGTGCAACGAATTTTATGGACGGTTTTGTGGAGAGTACGAGGCTGGCTGAGCACAAAGGCTATTTCTAAAAAAAAAAAAAAGGGTAAATTCCGACTTTGCTATGACAATCTGGCGCTTCTGAATCAGCGACTGTAGGTATGTTTTGTTATTAGTTTAAAGGGGTCATATGATGCTTTTTTAAAGATAATTATTTTGTGTATTTGATGTAACAGAATATGTTGACATGCTTTAATGTTCAAAAAAACACATTATTTTTCAAATACTGTACATTATTGTAGGTCCTCTATGCCCCGCCTCTCTCAAACGCGACGTTTTATACAAAGCCTCTCCTTCCGACAAGCGCAGTCTGCTCTGATTGGCCAGCTGACCCAGTGCATTGTGATTGGCCGAACACTACAGGCACTCGTCGGAAATGTAACGCCCCTTACCATAATCGCGAGCGTCATCTTTCAAAATAAATGTAAAGACAGAGCCGGAAAGGGGAACAGAGTCGCGTGACAGACACAGTGATGAAGCTGGTATGTGTTTGCAGTACACAAGCCACAGTTAAGACAGCTGACTCCACTGTGATGTGACCCCGTCTCTGTCTCTCTCTCTCTCTCTCTCTCGTGCTCTCTCTCTCTCTCTCAAAATAATGATCTTTAAAATAGTATCATATGACCCCTTTAAGATGTTTATAATTTAGAATGTATGTAAAACTTTGTATCAGATGTTTGTACACAGCAGATGCTTTCCAGGTGAAGCGATCTTTAACAGACATAGTCTACATGTGCTATCTGGGTTTGAACCAGGTTGATTTAAGAATCAGTGGGGGGGGGGGGGGGGGACCCCACCAACCCCCAACCCCAACACCCCCCCAGT